ATCCCCGTTTAGCTGATACCTTTTACTTAGGAAGTGGAGTTTTAATTGCACTGTCTTTTCCCCTCCTGCGTTTTTCTGGACGGGGGTCTCTGGGAAGGCTCAGACCCCAGCAGTGGTCTGAAGTGTCTGAAAAAAACAAAAAAACAAAACCTTCTCTGGAGGTGGCGGAGGGGAAAAACCTAACCAAGCCACCCCTAAATTAATAGTTTGTATTTGGAACTAAAGTTTGGCTGCGTGAATTACCGTAACCAAAATACCATAACTACTTCTATGTCCAAGGCCTAGAATGGGGACAGGTAGCTGGACAGGGGCAGTCTTTCTGGGGTGGGGACCAGGCCTCCTAGTGGTCCTCATGGAAGGACTTGGGGATGTTGAATCTTTAGGGGGGAGCGATTACTGAAGACTTCCTGAAAACCCCAGGCTGTTCTTCAAAGTTCTTGCTACTTTTTATTCTACCGGCAGAGCTGGCCCTGGAGTGTGCCGGTGTTCCCAAGCGTTGGGGACTGTGTTCTGTACCCTGCAGTACTGGGGTGTCCCCTGTGGTCAGGGCATAATCAGAATGACGCCCCAAACACGCCTCAACACCGGCCACCACTGCGGAGAAAAAGCAGCCTTACACTGATGGGGTTGTTCACCTGTCTTACATCTGTGGTGCTGGGCTGGAGGCTTCCTTTTCTTTTTTAAGTTAGGCTCCTCTTGCAAATAAATCGCTTTGCAACCAAAGTAACTTTTGGAGGAAGTATAAGGGAGCCGGTCAGTTGGTAGACTTTAATCTCCACCAGTAAAAGAAGGAAGTAACAGAGGGGCAGGAAAACCTTACACAGTAACATCAGCAGTTTCTCAAAGGGTTAAAAAAGGCCGTTGTACTCACTGAGGTTCTGTCAGATGTGTGCTCCACCCGCTTTCCAGCGGAAGGTCTCTGCTCCGGCTGTACCTTTCCCAGGGGACCCAGGGGGCTTTGAGTGTCTAAAGGTGACAGAAGTCTCTTGTGGCCCTTGATAGCTGTTGGGCACAGTTTTCTGATAACTAGAACTCATCCGTCTCTCTCCTGCCTATTTTGAAGTTTGCACTGCACAATGCATTTCCCTCCCCAAGAATCTGGCGGTGCACGTGTGTACACACCAATGAATAATGAACATCGTGCTCACTTACGTGCGAGGTTCTTTTATGGATGCTAAATTCAATCATCTTCATGTAAACCTGTAAGTTAGGGGCTAAATCCCCATCTTACTGATGTGGCCACTGAGGAACAGCAAAGTTGAGTGACTTACCTAGGGTCACACAGGTAATAGATGATAGAATTGGAATTTGAAACTTTCTAGCTGGCTTCCCAGTCATATCCCTCTCACTTAGATTTCAGCTTTTCAGTCTAACTCTGGCCGGTTAAAACACTCAAGAGTTTGATGGGGGGGGGGGTTTAAAGGGGAAATTGCTCAGTAGTACAGGTTTGGGTTTTGCCTGTGAGGGGCATACTGATCTGCTTCAGAGATGGCAAGTGTGGGTTCTAGTCGGAGGAAAACTTCTAGCCCAGGGGTGGGCAAACTTTTTGACTTGAGGGCCACAATGGGTTCTTAAACTGGACCGGAGGGCCGGAACAAAAGCATGGATGGAGTGTTTGTGTGAACTAATATAAATTCAAAGTAAACATCATTACATAAAAGGGTACGGTCTTTTTTTTTAGTTTTATTCATTTCAAACGGGCCGTTGTTTGCCCACGGCTGTTCTAGCCCTGTGACCTTGCGCATCTCCTCTGAGTCATTTTCCATCCTCCCGAGCAGTTCTTAAAGTGTGATCCCCAGACCAGCAGCACCAGCTGGAATTTGTGAGAAAAATCACAGGCTCCCCTCCCGAATCAGGAACTCTAGGGATGGAGCCAAGACGCCTGTGTCTAAACAAGCCCTCCAGGTGATGCTGATCACTTGTTAGACTAGCGAGGGTATGGAGTTGTGCTTCTCTGATTTTAATGTGCAGAGCAAGCATGTCAAACTCGCGGCCCGCAGGCTGCATGCCTTGTTTATTTGGCCCGTGTTAGCCTTTGAGTTTGACATGCTTGGTGCACCTAGGACTCCTGTGAAAGCAGGTTGCTTCTGTAGGTAGGACAGAGCCTGAGGCGGGCCTGAGATTCTGCATTTCTAACCAGCTCCCATGATGCTGAAGTTAGTGTTCTGTGGCCCACCCTTTGAATAGCAGAGGTTTGGAGGAGTAAGACAGTCACTTGGGGAAGGCTTTAAAATGAAGTTCCTGGGGATCTACCCTAACATCCCCTCCCTCTGGGGCAGTGGTTCTCAATGTTGGCTGCACATTAGAATCACCTGGGAATCTTTTTAAAATCCTGATTTCTGGGCCTCATCCTCCGGAAATTCTGTTTCTTTGTTATGGGGTGAGGCCACAACATTAGTAACAAAGAAACAGAATTTCCGGAGGATGAGGCCCAGAAATCAGGGAAAGTCTGTTTCTTTGTTATGAGGTGGGGCCACAACATTAGTAACAAAGAAACAGACTTTCCGGAGGATGAGGCCCAGAAACCAGGATTTTAAAAAGATTCCCAGGTGATTCTAATGTGCAGCCAAGGTTGAGAACCACTGCTCTAGGGCACTCATTTAACCCACAGTGCAGGTGGTGCTGATCCAGGTATGGGGACCGTCTTGTCTCTTGTGCAATGTATGATGTTCAGCAATATCCCTGGCGTTCCCCTGCTCGATGCCACCGTCCCCACATGATCCTGACAATTAAAAATGTCCCCAGGCATTGCCAAAAGTTCCCTGGGGGCAAAGGAACCCAGGATTGGGTCACCTGTTCAGACCCTGTTAAGGGGCCTCCCACAGAACTCCTAACTGAAGCTCGTACTCAGACAGGCTGGGCCCTGTACTGAGAATCCACATTGCTACCTCTTAGCCCTGAGACAGGTCAGCGATTCCTTTTTCCAGGTGAGTCACCTGTGGCTCAGAAAGGTTACATAAGGTGCCAGTAGGCACACAGCTAGTGTCATGGCTAAGCAAACCCTGTGCCTGGAACCCAAGCCCTCACCATTGTGCTGCACAGCCTCTCGTGGTCAGAGAAGGTTTGCCTGGATAAACCCTCAAGGAAAATGGAATCAACCTTCTGTACTCGGGTAAACCAGAAGCCCCAGACCATGGCCTCTAATTAATAAGTTCGTCGGGATCTTTTTTCTTAAAGACTTCAGACATGGCTCGCACCTCTGTAGGAGGGAGTACTTAGTCATTGTTATGGAAACTTTACTTTTTATTTTTTAAATATATTTGATTGATTTTTTACAGAGAGGAAGGGAGAGGGATAGAGAGCTAGAAGCATCGATGAGAGAGAAACATCGACCAGCTGCCTCCTGCACACTCCCTACTGGGGATGTGCCCGCAATGAAGGTACATGCCCTTGATCAGAATCGAACCCAGGACCCTTCAGTCCACAGGCCGACGCTCCATCCACTCTGCCAAACTGGCCAGGGTGTGTTATGGAAACTTTTTAAAGTGCATATTTAGATGAAGCCATGTTAAATTGTCATCCAATCACCTGGGCCCATGAAAACCAGGATAGCACGTGGCTCCACCTTACTGAAAATAGAATGACACCGTGA